TAGTGGGGGTCTGCAATTACCTGGTGTTGTAGTGGGGGTCTGCAATTACCTGGTTTTGTAGTGGGGGTCTGCAATTACCTGGTGTTGTAGTGGGGGTCAGCAATTACCTGGTGTTGTAGTGGGGGTCTGCAATTACCTGGTGTTGTAGTGGGGGTCTGCAATTACCTGGTGTTGTAGTGAGGGTCTGCAATTACCTGGTGTTGTAGTGGGGGTCTGCAATTACCTGGTGTTGTAGTGGGGGTCTGCAATTACCTGGTGTTGTAGTGGGGGTCTGCAATTACCTGGTGTTGTAGTGGGGGTCTGCAATTACCTGGTGTTGTAGTGGGGGTCTGCAATTACCTGGTTTTGTAGTGGGGGTCTGCAATTACCTTGTGCTGTAGTGGGGGCCAGGTGCGACAACAACAGGTAACTGTGAGCAGCACATCTAGAAGCTTTAAGACGTCGAGCATTTTTGATGATAGCCGTTTGACATAAACTTTTTGACAGTCGGTCATGTCTGTTTCGCACTTTAGTATTTGCTCAATCACTACAGTGAGTGTGTTAGTCAGGGTGACCGGAAAGATGCGCAACGGAAAACTGCGCATAAAAGGTACGCAATGGCAATTTTGTTTTCTAAAGTCGGGCAAGTACAAGAACATTGTAGAATAATAAAACATATTCCTCGAAATATAACAAAACTAAATTGTATTAGTGTTACTAGTTTGTATTTGTATATTTTCCGACGCGCAATTTTACTATTTCCCATTTTTCTGAAAACCGTTTGGGGGGTCGTCCATAAATGACGTCACACTCGAAGGGGGGAGGGGGGTCCGCAATTTTGTGACGGTGTGTGATGAGCGGGAGGACGAGGGGGGGGGGGGGGTGGAGGACGGCGTGTTCAGATGGTGCGACGTCACACTTTTGCATTATAAAAAAGCAATGTTAGAAAACGAATTTTAGACGTTATTTTGCGTTTTAGAAAACTTATTTAATAATTTTGTAATAACAATTGATTACAATACTCTATTTTGACAGAGTTCAGACAAGATTGTGGAAAAATATAGCTGTTTAAAAAAAATTCAACTGCAATTTTAAGGGGGGTTGTAGGCTGATGTGTAACGTCATTTTAGGGGGGGGGGGTCTGGCTTTTTGTGACGACGTGTAACGGAGGGGAGGGGGGGAGGTAAAAATCGTCAAAAAAGCGTGACGTCATTTCTAGATGACCCCTTGTTAGACCACTGTCGTTCACCTCAGTTGTCTACCTTTGTCCAACTACCGTAACACAATACAGGCTCCCTGCTTGTAGCTCTTAATAAAATCACCTCATCGTTTCTCCTATATAAACATATCTCAAACACCCCCCTCCACACACCCCCTCTACCCAAGCCAACACACTCCTCATTAAAACGAAGCCACCATTTTCAAGATACAGAACAAGAACATACGCTATAAAAAATGTGCAGGTCTATAATATTCCCAAAACAAAATATATTACGTGAGATTATTCTCTTATGTTGGCACGAAAATTAAACTTAATTTTCTCAACAACTGCACTAAATTTATCAGTAACGAGCACTCAAGAAAGTTTATTTGAGTTATCTCCCTTGTATTTTTCCCAAGTGGCACCTCCATGTGTGAAAGATTGGATAAAACTGCGTGCCGTCTGTAGATAGGGTTTATCTTCACTTACCTAACTACCCCTGGCAGAGGCCGTTAAATTCTTCAACAACAAAAAAAAATACGACAGGTGCACATGTCACCTCTTACGTTTTTAAACTTAAAATTGTTTGAAATTTTTTAAAAATCTATTTTTAGCTAGTATAAACACTCTCCCGTGCATGTGAAGAGAGTGAAATAAAACCGGCCACCTAGGTAAATAAAGTGATGTTTTCATTCACTCCCATCTGAGTGATGGATGCATCATTCATGGAAGTTACAGATGTTTCTCCTCACAAAATACAGGTTTAAAAGTTGTTTTCCTCGTGAGTTTTCTCTTCACCCAAAACCTTAGAGTTTTTAATGGCCTTAGAAAAACGATTGAACGTGTCTTTACGACATTTTTTTATCAAGGTATAGACTAGGTAAGGTGTAAATCTTGTAACAATTCAGGGTCATTTTTGTCTACATTAGCGCTGCTCGTATTCTCTTAAGGACGTTCAATAGACGCAGACACGAATTAATAGAGATCGCTACTGTGTAATGCAGTGGTCACGAGTGGTCAACGATAAGTGACGCAAGAGTCATTAAAAGTCCACATTTTGTGATGCAGGAGTCACGATAATTGACGCAAATATTCTCGTTGAGTAAAATAAAGTATTTGAAATCCTCGGGACATTGGGCAGATAATCTATCTATATATATAATTCTCTTCTGGGATCAGTTAGAAAACAAGCTGCAAGCGCCTCCTTGCAGTCCCCTCTCTTTCTCTCTATCACTATCACTACCACCCCCACCCCACCCCAACATTGTCTGGTGAGCGGTGTTCACTCTAAATTTTTACAAAGCTAAATGTTTACAAATCGAAGAGCCGTACAGCCGGGTTTCTATTAGGGGCAGATAATTTAGTTCGATTTTAAACTTACAGGAGGTAACTAAGAAATAACTAAGAGGAGGCTGCTTTCACGGGGGGGGGGGGGTAGGGTCGGGGTTAGGGGAAAGTGGGGGGGGGGGGTTAGTGTTTTAAAGCAAATATTTTCAGTGGCAGCATTGGTACTGTCGAATTTACAAATTATGAATTACTGAAAAGTAGAAAATAAAACAACTAAATAGCGGCGTATGATACGCTGCGGGTCGGCTCGTATATATAATTCTCTTCTGGGAGACGCTAGAAAACAAGCTGTAAACGCGCTCCCTAACTCCCCACCCCTACATTGTCTTAGTGAGCTGTGTTCACTCTAAATGTTTACAAGCAGAGCCGGGTTATGTGACGACTATTAGGGGCAGATAATTTAGTTTAAAACGATTTAAAACGTAGGTGGGGGGAGGAAGGGGGGGGGGGGGTTATGGTCCTTAACGAGCTACTATAGTGTTTAAAGAAATATTTTCAGTGGCTTGTTTTCATGTTTTAGCTCAAACAGCACAACTTCCGCTGGGGGAAGACAACCCAGCTCTGCATGCCATGTAATCGATAACACCCCATTAAGTTTTAATCAGAGTGAGTTCCCCTGTCCGGATCCCCCAACAGAAGTGGCGTGACTAGCCGCCATTACGGCGTATCGCATTTAAAGCCAGAGGATTGGTCCAGGGCGGCTGGTCACATGACACGAGCCTCGCGTCTGCTGCTGTCCCAACTCTTGTAAACAAACTCAGTGTCGGCATTCTGGGAAGGTATGGACGGGGGAAAGTATGTGACGTCAATTTAATTACAGGCTGGTCTTAATTACATTAACGTAAACAGACAATTGTATAGCGGGTCAATATGAACTGTTGGAATTGTTCGTAAGTTGAAAACATTTAAGTGTTGAAATGAAAGTGTTTTTATTTTATTATAAAGGTGTCAAAATTTAAGTGCTAAAAGTATTTTAATGTGCCGAAAGTTTTTAGAAGTATGTGAAAATGTTTATTTAAAAGTTAAAAGTGCCTCTGATATTTAAAACTCAAAAGTATTGAATGACGAGTTTTTAAAAAATTATATTTAGCTTTCCATCATTAGAACAACCCAGTAATTATGTCAATTTCGGGTTTATTTTACTGTGCTTAGTCTATATTTATTCCTTGTAAAGTACTGACGCCATATAAACTATAACAAAGCACTTCCACCATATAGAAACTTTAACAAAGCACTGCCACCATATAGAAACTTTAACAAAGCACTGCCACCATATAGAAACTCAAAGCACTGACACCTTATAGAAATAGCCGTGATGTCTCCAGTTTTAAAATTTAACTTTCAAACTGTTCAAACAAGTCGTGTCAGGTCTACCTCCCATAAAGCCGGGTTACAAAAGTAAGCGGGTATAACCTACCTTCTAGTCTTTGTTCTCAGTGGTAGTAGAGGTTGGTCGGATCTAGCACAGTTAGCCATCTTTGAAGAACAACAAACGTATGAACAGGATGACTGAACAGGATGACTGAAGATGATGACTGAAGAGGGTGACTGAACAGGATGACTGAGGGGTTGACTCAACAGAATGACTGAAGGGATGACTGAAGGAATGACTTAAGAGGATGACTGAACATGATGACTGAAGGAATGACTGAAGGAATGACTGAAGGGATGACTGAACAGGAAAAATATTAGGTGACAATAAAACAATGTCTACAACTTCTAAACGTAAAATCTCATGTGGCTAGTTATGTATTGGTTGATTCATCAATAAAGATAAAACTAATTATGTAGGTGTTCAAATGGTAGAAGTTGTCTGGTATTACTAAATCTCGCAGTAATGTAACATTTACTCTTGTTGCATGATCAGTATTAAAGCAACATTAAAAGAATACAAACAGATAATCAAAATATATTAACATTATATTTTTGTTCTACTTCACAGGCTACTGTATGAAGACTGTCTAACTTTAGGGGAGTAACACAATGTTTACATGTATTTGATGAATGGCTGACGTCACTGTGTAGTTGTTGATCTAGGAACTTCACATCACTAAAACATCAGAGGAACATCAAGGGAACTAGCAACATTACGGAACATCTTGTAAACTAAAACTAAACTAATGACCATCAAATATCATAATTCGGCTGTCACTAACTCGAGGGCGCCATAGTTTAGAGATTTTACACATCATTACACACCATCCCCCACCAACACACACCACCACGACCCCCTACCACACCACACAACCATATCTCCACCAGCACACACCACACCACCCCACACCACTCCACACATCATCCCACACCACCACACACCACTATACCCCATCCCCAACAGCACCGACTTCCACACACCACTACACAACACCCCACACTACCACACACCACCCCACACCACCACACACCACTCCACACCACTCCACACCACCCCACACCACCACACACCACTCCACACCACCCCACACCACCCCACACCACCACACACCACCCCACACCATCCCCCACAAATAACAATTCAGCATGGAAGTTGGTTAAACATATGTGTCTATTGCCACTGTTGAACCGATAAACATTTCAATGGGCCATTCGTCCAGCTTGGCTCAGCTCGGCTAAACTAAATGACACGAACAACAATGTTACGTCACGGAGTTTTGGTTGCGCTAGCAACCTTTTTCTTGTTTACATGCGTGACGTCATCGCACGTGCAGAGCGTCGACCCGGTCGTGACGGCATCCAACGAGACCGTACAACCAGTTCCGGAAAACACGTCATCCAATGACAAACCTGCCGAGCCTGTGCTGACGTCACTGAACTCTACAGCCCACCTGGCTTCAGACAACACGTCACCACAGGTCAGACAGCCAGACCCATCGAGCAAGTCAGATCCAGAACCGACGGAATCAAAGAACGCTCTCGACGTCGTCTCGGAGAACGACGACACGAAAGTTGCCTACAACCGTGACGTCAACAAAGACAACCCAGAATTCACGTTCCGAACTTTCGTGACGATCTTCGTCACGCTGACCATCGTCCTGTCCAACTGCGCCATCTTGATGGTGGCGTCATGGACGGACGCCTTCAGTAACTTCAACAAGACTTTCATCTACTCGCTGACCTTGGCTGACCTTCTCATCGGTCTCTTCATCACGCCCTACTCCGTCTTTCTCTCTGTCTACAACCGCTGGATATACACCAGGTAATTTTTTTACACAACTCTGTTGTCATGGTTACGGCACACACTTTTATTTTTATTTTTTTTTACAATTCACTGATCTGGATTTAAATTTAGAACAAAGTTTAAATGAAAGAACACTTCGACAAAATATCTTTATTAGAAAAAAAAACCGCCAAACAAACCTATTGTATTCAGTGCTGTAATAGCTCTTATCCTGTGTGGTGGTATGGATGTAGTGACTTCCGTTGCTGGTACCAAACAGAGTTACCGTTATTAGCTGGAGCCAAGCATACAAGAGGTCTGACACGCCTCATTGATTTCTGCTTGATTTAATTACTCGAGGTCTCGTTAAAATTGGTGAAGCTGCACAAGATATTAGAGGTCATTAAAAGGTCAAAGTAATTTAACTTTTACGTCAAACAGAACGAAAAATGATTTCATCTCATTAAATCGTAGACACAAAGTTAAAAAAATCTTGAAACAAGAAACGACCATAGGTATTAGCTAATTATCTTAAACTCAAAAGAAAACAATTTAAATTTAAATACCTGGTTCTTGGCAGCTAGCCGATAATTGGATTCTTCTACCCACTCTTTTAGTTCAGATGTTTAATTTAAATATAGATTGGTAAACTAACACCATGCCTAGCAATCTGTCTACATAGAAAGTAAAAAATAAAAAGTCGATGTTTATGAGGTGTGTTCGAATGTTATGTGGCTAAGAGTAGTTGGGGTAACGGCACTGATCTCATTGTCATCTTAAGTCCTTGTCCTTATAGTGCTTAGCTCATGGGCATCTTATGTACCTTAAGTCCTGGTTCTTATAGTACCCTATATCCTGGTCCTTAAACTGGAGTAGCTAACTTGTATATTTATCTTACTTGGTGAGGTTTTAGAATTTAATGTACCGAGAAATTGTCTTCCTCACTGAGGTCTCAAGACTTTACGTATTGTAACCCTCAGCGGTCTGTTTCAATTATTGACGACTCGTCATTGTCAATGAGAGGCTAGAAATTATTCTCCTAAGTGAAATCTTAGAATTTAACGTTTTTTCAATGTTTATCTCCCCCTGGTGTATTGTTAAAATTTAACGATTCACATTTCTGTTTATCTCCCATTGTGAAAAATGTTAAAATTGAACGTTTCACAAATGTTTATCTCCCCAGTGAAATGTTAAAATTTAACGTTTCACCAATGTTTATCTCCCCCTATGAAATATATAAAATTTAACGTTTCTCCAATGTTTATCTCCCCTATGAAATATATAAAATTGAACATTTCTCCTATGTTTATCTCCCCCAGTAAAATGTTAAAATGTAACGTTCCTGCAATCATTATCTCCCCAGTGAAATGTTCTGTAGTGTTGAGGCCTACCTGTTTACGACGTTAATGACGGCCAAGCTGTACTCTCTGACCTGGCTCAACGTTGACCATTACGTCGCCGTCAGGAAACCGGAGCGTTACAACGTCATGATGTCCCCTACCAGGAGTCTCTGCTGGATTGTCTTCTCTTGGATAGTCGCCATATCGTTTTGTTGTCCCCCTTTGTTCTCGTTCGAGGTAAGAGTTATGGGACTTTTTAAAAACTATATATATATATATATATATATATATATTTATATATATATATATATATATATATATATATATATATATATATATATATATATATATATACTCGTTCTAGTATTCGGTCACCTAAATACCAACAGATAACTTAAGGCTAACCTTATACAACAGTAACAGTTATGTTCTTGTTCCTACATTTTACAAATCCTAATCTAATTTTTTTTTTTAGTTGTGTAACTCCATTTTGTTTAATCATGTGTTTAACAACCCCCCCCCCCCCCCCCCGCCAGTCAGCTGTGTTCAACAAGGCCATCTCCATCTGTATGATCGACACCAAGCAACAAGTGGCCTACATCCTGACGGCCGGGGTCCTTGTCTCCATCCCCAGCCTGTTCGCCATGAGCATCACAGGCGCCTACCTGTTCACCAAGTAAGTCACGTCACCTCACACTCACCCTGCTACAAGTGTTACTGACCTCACCGTACCAGTTTAAAGGCAGATAACTCAAGAATACATAGTCTGTGAGTTGATGCGTTTGTTCTCTCCCCTGTCAGGTCTTTCAAGAAGCGCATCCAGTTCTACGAGAAGGTGTACGTGGAGTTGTCCTCCCGCCCCAGCAACTACTACATCACCTGCATCCTGTGTCTGCTGTATATCATCGTCTGGATCCCTTTTGTCATCATCAAGTATGTCGCCCTTATAGCCTACACATCCAGAGGAGGGAACCATTAAATATACAGTTGTTATAGAAATCATACAGCTATTTTCTCCCTGTAAAAACTTGCTCGAACCACTACGAAAAACAGGGATTCAATCAATTATTTATAGCTACCATAGTATAATTTACAATTATGGTTTACATTTAGCGTACTAAACTTAAAGATTATCGGGGGGGGGGGACTAAAATGTCCGGGGGGCGGACACTGTCAAAAGTATATATTTCCTATATAAACTCCATTTCGTTCGTGGGAAAGGGGGGGGGGGAGGGGGGTGGTAGACACCCCCACCCCCCCTGGAAGAAACTCTGCTTAGAAGCTGGTTTAAAATAACTGCACATGAAACCTAAGGATTAGCATAGAATTAGATGTTACGTGATGTAAAGAACAAGAAACAATTACTGACATTCATAACACTTTAAAATTTATCTTGTTCTTACATTTTACTTAGATAAACTAATGTTTTAAATTTAAACCCTAAATGTTGTTGTTAACTTGACCACGTATGACCATGAACTCTCGCCCCTCCCCCACAGCCTCGTTGTGAAGCGAGCCTTCCAGACTGACGTAGACGACTCCCTCCAGTTTGCCGCCTGCTGGGTCGGCATCTCCGCTAGCTTCAGCCAGTTTTTTGTTCTGCTCATACTCAGCGCTGACTTCCGGTTCCATTTCCTGGAAATTTGTCAGTTGCCAGGATGGTGTGTGTGGTGTAATCAAGAAAATCTGGCAGATTCCACGGACGTCAACTTTATCACAATCCCAGTCAAACGCTGATTGCAACAACATGTAATCAACAAAGTTCAAACTCTCAACCAAACCAGCCAAACTTGAGACAAGTTCTGTACAAGACCATATGGAGAACATTTTCCTAGTATAAATTATTGAACGTGCTAATAAAATGGATGTTACTATAGACATGTTTTCAAAATTTACCACGTAAAAAATGTGGTAACATATTAGACACTGGGTGATAATTAATTATTCAATTTGATTGGTCATCACATTAAAAAGTAAACTTTGTATGATGACCAATTGCTGTGAAGGTGATAACAAATTTTAGTGTTTTACCATGGTAACAGTTGATATAAATAAACTGATGTAGTACGTCACAGCCGACATGGTGAAATGGAATAGATTGCGATAGATGTTATCTGTGTAATAAGTGAACATATGTGATATAATGTATTTAGTAAATGATAGCAAATATATTTTGTTATACGCTATTGTCTTGTGTTGTGTTATAGGTAATTTGTATAAATAAGTATAGTTATAACAGAGTAACTGGTGATATATTGATAAATGTGTAAACTAGCGTAAATTATCGAGGGTCGATGACACATGTAGCCAGGGGCGTAGCGAGGGGGGGGGGGCGGGGGGTGCGGACCGCACCGGGTGACACCATTTAGGGGGGTGACACCAAGGCAAAAAATAGGAAAATATATAGAGGAAAACTTGAGGGGGGGTGCAAATCGAAAGTTTGAGGGGGGGGGGTGCAAATCGAAAACTTGAGGGGGGGGTGCAAATCGAAAACTTGAAAGGGAATGGTCGCCTTTGGGGGGGGGGGGTGACACCATTAAGTGCCGCACCGGGTGATACCCGACCTCGCTACGCCACTGCATGTAGCATTAAATATTATCGTAGAAAACCTACATTAAAATATGTAAGAAAACCTACATTATAATATGTGAGTAAATGTACATTATAATAAGTGAGAAAACCTACACTGTACTACGTGAGTAAGGAGTCAATGGTAAAGTTTGTAAAAAAAAAAGAACTGACCTGGATAATGAATGTTGTTTGATACGCTTTTACCTACTCTACTACACTTCAAACTCTTAGTCTACTGATGGCTTATACATTTTGTGGCATGTGTCATGTGTGTAACTTGTATAGCATTATTACAATGATATAAGTGTGTAAATGGCAACTGAATCTGCGCGGTGAATTCAAACTGTCGTCTGCAAGGATTTATTTGAAACGTGTCACACCCGTCGTGGTGATCATATCAAATGTGCAATAGTTCCCCACCCCCACCCCACTATCCAGTTCACGTGGAGAAATACATTGTGTATCAAGTACAGGTAGAAATTCGAATTCTAAATATTTTTGATGTGACGAACATAGTTGAAGTAGATTTGAGTATCATTCATGGAGTTCACGTTGGATTCAACTTTTGGCCTGTAAGCTGTGTTTAATACAATTTTCTTGTAACATTAAATTTTTTCGATTTGAAAAAATCGACAACTGATAATAAAGTACATACCTTCTATTTTCTGTAGTTTTTATCTTCCGTGTTAGCTTAATTTATGAACCTAGTAAATCAACTACGCAAGTTACTGGTGCTAATTTTGATGTCCTCATTTGTTCCTCAATCCGTGCTGTACACCGCCCAGATATGTAAAACGATCCACCTCTGAAATATTCGACCCTTGTATCTGATGTAGGAGTTTCTGATGCTAACTTAATGAATATCACCTCGGAAGTGTTACAGTTGATAGTGGAAATTGTCTTAAGTGATTCTTGAAAGAGTTTGCTTAGCTTGGACTGGGTATAGTCTTGTCTTAAGTGATTCTTCAAAGAGTTTGCTTAGCCTGGACTGGGTATACTATTGTCTTAAATGATGCTTTAAAGAGTTTGCTTAGCTTGGACTGGGTATACTATTGTCTTAAGTGATTCTTCAAAGAGTTTGCTTAGCTTGGACTGGGTATAGTCTTGTCTTAAGTGATTCTTCAAAGAATTTGCTTAGCTTGGACTGGGTATAGTCTTGTCTTAAGTGATTCTTCAAAGAGATTGCTTAGCCTGGACTGGGTATAGTCTTGTCTTAAGTGATTCTTCAAAGAGTTTGCTTAGCTTGGACTGGGTATAGTCTTGTCTTAAGTGATTCTTCAAAGAGTTTGCTTAGCCTGGACTGGGTATACTATTGTCTTAAGTGATTCTTCAAAGAGTTTGCTTAGCTTGGACTGGGTATAGTCTTGTCTTAAGTGATTCTTCAAAGAGTTTGCTTAGCTTGGACTGGGTATACTATTGTCTTAAGTGATTTTTCAAAGAATTTGCTTAGCTTGGACTGGGTATAGTCTTGTCTTAAGTGATTCTTTAAAGTGTTTGCTTAGCTTGGACTGGGTATACTATTGTCTTAAGTGATTCTTCAAAGAGTTTGCTTAGCTTGGACTGGGTATAGTCTTGTCTTAAGTGATTCTTGAAAGAGTTTGCTTAGCTTGGACTGGGTATACTATTGTCTTAAGTGATTCTTCAAAGAGTTTGCTTAGCCTGGACTGGGTATACTATTGTCTTAAGTGATTCTTCAAAGAGTTTGCTTAGCTTGGACTGGGTATAGTCTTGTCTTAAGTGATTCTTGAAAGAGTTTGCTTAGCTTGGACTGGGTATACTATTGTCTTAAGTGATTCTTCAAAGAGTTTGCTTAGCTTGGACTGGGTATACTATTGTCGTAAGTGATTCTTCAAAGAATTTGCTTAGCTTGGACTTGGTATAGTCTTGTCTTAAGTGATTCTTTAAAGAGTTTGCTTAGCTTGGACTGGGTATACTATTGTCTTAAGTGATTCTTCAAAGAGTTTGCTTAGCTTGGACTGGGTATACTATTGTCTTAAGTGATCCTTCAAAGAATTTGCTTAGCTTGGACTGGGTATAGTCTTGTCTTAAGTGATTCTTTAAAGTGTTTGCTTAGCTTGGACTGGGTATACTATTGTCTTAAGTGATTCTTCAAAGAGTTTGCTTAGCTTGGACTGGGTATACTATTGTCTTAAGTGATTCTTCAAAGAATTTGCTTAGCTTGGACTGGGTATAGTCTTGTCTTAAGTGATTCTTCGAAGAGTTTGCTTAGCCTGGACTGGGTATACTAGTGTCTTAAGTGATTCTTCAAAGAGTTTGCTTAGCCTGGACTGGGTATACTATTGTCGATGTGAGGCGGATGTCCTCAGTAAAAGTTAGGTCTACCAGCTGTTTAGTACAGTTTAGTGAGGGTCCACTGAATTCCAGCTTTTTGGTCTGAAGTTGAATTCCTCATAATCCACTTAATGACTTGTAAAAAAGAATACTGGTGAAAGCATCCCGTCTTGCCGTATTTAGTATTCACTGAACAAAGGACTGGTTGTGGTTAATCTGACTGTTGGAGTCTACAGAGAGCTGTTGGATGATGTTGATGAATTTTGGAGGGATCCTGTGGTGCTTCATCAACTTCCAAATGACATCTATGTGCACATTATCGCGTGTCTTGTGTAACTCCACAAAGATCACATCCATTTATATTCAATTGACATTTCTCCACTGTCCACGAGATGTAATGAGATTTTGATCTAGATTTCGCGTTTTCCCACAAGATGAGGTTAAGGTTGTCTTGATGGCTTGTATAGAAATAACAATAACAAGGTTATTTAGAGCACAGGAATCTGTTCAACGTTTTCATTGCATGGATATAAAACAAAACACGTCACCACCACCAGGTCAAACTGAAAAATTATATATATATATATATATAATATATATATATATATACATA